ACGGGGAGGAGGCGATGCGGGTCGGCACCGCCTCGTGGGGCAGAGACGGGGGCGCACACACAGTCGCCGGGCTGCAGACACACGGGGAGGAGGCGATGCGGGTCGGCACCGCCTCGTGGGGCAGAGACGGGGGCGCACACACAGTCGCCGGGCTGCAGACACACGGGGAGGAGGCGATGCGGGTCGGCACCGCCTCGTGGGGCAGAGACGGGGGCGCACACACAGTCGCCGGGCTGCAGACACACGGGGAGGAGGCGATGCGGGTCGGCACCGCCTCGTGGGGCAGAGACGGGGGCGCACACACAGTCGCCGGGCTGCAGACACACGGGGAGGAGGCGATGCGGGTCGGCACCGCCTCGTGGGGCAGAGACGGGGGCGCACACACAGTCGCCGGGCTGCAGACACACGGGGAGGAGGCGATGCGGGTCGGCACCGCCTCGTGGGGCAGAGACGGGGGCGCACACACAGTCGCCGGGCTGCAGGCACACGGGGAGGAGGCGATGCGGGTCGGCACCGCCTCGTGGGGCAGAGACGGGGGCGCACACACAGTCGCCGGGCTGCAGACACACGGGGAGGAGGCGATGCGGGTCGGCACCGCCTCGTGGGGCAGAGACGGGGGCGCACACACAGTCGCCGGGCTGCAGACACACGGGGAGGAGGCGATGCGGGTCGGCACCGCCTCGTGGGGCAGAGACGGGGGCGCACACACAGTCGCCGGGCTGCAGACACACGGGGAGGAGGCGATGCGGGTCGGCACCGCCTCGTGGGGCAGAGACGGGGGCGCACACACAGTCGCCGGGCTGCAGACACACGGGGAGGAGGCGATGCGGGTCGGCACCACCTCGTGGGTCGCTCGCCTCTCTGTCCCCTGGCTCCGCGCTGGCGGGAGCCAGAAAAAAGAAACAAGGCCGGCTCGTGCGCCAGGTTTTTTTCTTTTCTGGGCAGGCGGCGTCTGGCTCTGCGATGGCGGGAGACTTCAAGTCGCTGCGCCCTAAGTCTGACAAGGTCGAGCCGAGCGCCCTCTCCCTCCCCCTCACCCTCACCCTAGCCCTAACACTCACACTAGCTCACACCCCACCTACCCCTTGTGCCGCGTCCCGTGCCCCCGAGTTCCTTTTATTATTCTTTTTACCCCTTAGGTCGAGCTACGCGCGGCGGGCGCCGCTCTCGACGGCGCCTCCCTCTCCCTCGCTGCTTGGGTGCTGCCGCCCGCGCCTGCGGACGGCAAGGTCCTCTCCATCCAGACCATCGCCTCCACAAAGGTTTGCGCGAGATGTAGCCGAGATGTAGCCGAGATGTAGGCGAGATGTAGGCGAGATGTAGGCGAGATGTAGGCGAGATGTAGCGAGAGGCAGCCGAGAGGCAGCCGAGAGGCAGCCGAGAGATCGACGAGAGGCAGCCGAGAGAGGCAGCCGAGAGACAGCCGAGAGACAGCCGAGAGAGGCAGCCGAGAGGCAGCCGAGAGGCAGCCGCGATAGACAGCCCATCGCCGCCAGGCCTCGACTATCAAGGATGACTTCGGTGTCCCCCCCCTCCAGGCCTCCGGCTGCGCCGTCGACGCGGATCACCGGGGCGTCGCCGTCTTCCTCCACGAAAAAGAAATACCGCGGGTAACGCCCACACAAAAGAAAAAACGCGTGGCTGTAGGCGTCGCCGTCTTCCTCAACGAGTGGCAGACCAACTCGGGCCAGCTCTCCCTAGAAGCTTCTAGCGGAGGACGCACTCTTGAGCTCCAAGCGGTCCTCGAGAGGGCACGGACTCCGCCGTATTCGACCGTATTCGTTCTGCGTTCCGCTGTATTCGCAGCCGGCGGTGTACTTACGCGGTGCTCTGAAGACACCGCGCAAGACACGTCCTCCCGCCCTCATGTCGGCGTCTTCACAACGTAGGCCAGCTCTACCTCTCGTGGGGCTCCGCCGCGTCGGGCTGCGAGGAGATCGCCACCGCGGTGAACAGCGTCAAGCCAGGCCGCCGCGCGCACGCCACACACACACACACACACACACACACACACACACACACCGCCCACACACACACCGCCCACACACACACCGCCCACACACACACCGCCCACACACACACCGCCCACACACACACCGCCCACACGACGCACACGCACGCAAGCATACACACACACGCACACTCATTCACACTCACTCACTCACGGCCAGGCCGTTGGACGCACGTCGCTGCGACGCTGTCGGCGTCGCGCGCGCGGCTGTACGTCGACGGCGAGCTCTAGCCGAGACCCCGCCCAGATTCGGCCGGGTGCATAAGTACGATGGCGAGGCGCAGCCAAGGTGTAGCCGAGGTGCAGCCGTTGTGAATCCCCATCACCAGGGCCTTTTGGGCACGCACCCCAACCTCTCATAGACTATAGCGCGCAGCGCCATAGCACGCAGTTTCTTCTTAGTACCAAGGCTTGTGAGCAGGCGAGCTGCTCGCGGACTCGGAGCGGGACGGCAGCGGCAAGCTGCTCGGGGTGCGAGACACGTCCGAGACACTTCCGAGACACTTCCGAGACACTTCCGCGTGGCGACCTTCCAAGGCGTCCCGGGCGTGTGGCTGGCGATCGTGGGACACCGTTCCCCACGTCGGCCGCCGGTCGGCCTACTCGACGGATGAGTACCTCATGCATGGCCGTTAGGTGGACAACTTTCACCACGGCGGAGACCAGTCCGCCGGGGTGTCGGACCGGCTCTTTCGCGGCGGGGAGACGGCGCTCCGCGTCGGCGCGCAATGAGAGGAAGAGAGAGAGAGAGGAACAGAGTGGGAAAAAGAGAGAGAGCGCGCATGCGGACGGCACGCGCCCGTATCATTCATGCAGTCCTTATTGCATCCATCGTGTCCGTTGCCAGGCGCGCATGCGGACGGCACGCACCCTCTGCATGGGCTGGTTGCGCAGCTGGCCGTTTGGCCGACGGAGCTGGACGCGTCGCAGGTCGGTACCTCGGCCATACCTCGGCCATACCTCGGCCGCACTTCGGCCATACCTAGGCCACATTTCGGCCACACTCCGGCTACATTTCCTTATCTCTCTGCGATACGTCGACGATACCTCGGCCACACGTCGACGGCGCCTCTGCTGCCATCCCGCCCTCACTTCGGCCCTACGAAGCTCGCAGGTTGCGGCGCTGTCATGCGGCGCACCTCCCGACGGCGCCGTCGCCGGCACCCCCTCGCGCTTGCCTCCGCCGTCGCTCAACCTCTCCTTCACCCACACGGGAGGGCGGTCGCTGCCCGAGGGGAGCCTCTCCGGTGTTGACGAGCTGGAGACGGTGCCGATCGCGCAGGTGGTGCCTAAGGAGGACGTGGCGATCAGCGCGCGCTACGTGCCGCCCAAGGCGGACGTCGCCGCCGCCGCCGCCGCCGCCGCCCCGGCCAAGGCGGGCTGGCCGCTGCCTTGGCTGCCGCCGCGCACGTTGCGGCGAGGGACGGAGGCGGAGGTGAACGCGTCCGATGCGCTGGCGCGGGTGCGGCTGGAGGCGGTGCGCGGCGCGTTCAAGCGCGCGTGGGGGGCGTACCGGAAGCACGCGTGGGGCATGGATGAGATCAAGCCAATCAGCAACAAGTCGCACGACTGGCTGCACCTGGGCGCGACGATGATCGACTGCCTCGACAATCTGTGGATCTTCGGGCTCAAGGCCGAGTTTGACGAGGCCAAGGAGTGGGTTGCGACCAAGCTCAGCTTCAGCCGCGCGGTGGGCATCTCGATGTTTGAGACGGTGATCCGGATCATCGGCGGGCTGCTCTCGGCGTTTGAGCTGTCGCGCGAGGCGGTGTTCCTCCGCAAGGCGGAGGAGCTGGCCGGCCTGATGATGTACTCGTTCAAGGCCAACCCCGAGACGGGCGTGCCCTGCACCACCATCTCGCTCGACGGGTCGCGCCGGTGCACCTTCCCCACGTGGACGCAGCGCAACGCAATCTTGGCCGAGTTTGGGACCATCCAGCTCGAGTTCAAGTACCTCGCGCACCACACCGGCCGCAAGGAGTTTTGGGAGGTCGCGGAGCGCCAGATCCGCAACGTGCGCGGCCGGACGCAGCCGGCCGGCCTGTACCCAAACTTTATGTCGCCGAAGACGCTCCGCTGGACGACGACCAAGGTGTCGATGGGCGCGCTCGCGGACTCGTTCTACGAGTACCTGCTCAAGCAGTGGCTGCTCACGCAGCGGACGGAGCCGTACTTGCGCACCATGTTCGACGAGGCGATGCTTGGCATGGCGCGGAGCATGGTCGCGCGCTCGACGCCGTCCGAGCTGGTCTACATCGCCGACTACGTGAGCGAGGGGAAGCTCGTGCACAAGATGGACCACCTCGCCTGCTTCGCCGGCGGGATGCTCGCGGTGGGCGCGCAGCACGGCGGAGAGTTCGACCGCGAGTACATGACGCTCGCCGAACGGATCGGGGAGACGTGCTACGAGTTTTACCGGCGCACGACCAGCGGCCTCTCGCCCGAGTTCATGTCGTTCGTCGGCGGCTCCGATCCGAAGGTGCCGCGCAACGCCGCGTACAACATCGGCTTATCTCCCCATATCTCCCCATATTTCCCCATATCTCCCCATATCTCCCCATATCTCCCCATATCTCCCCAAGGTGCCGCGCAACGCCGCGTACAACATCGGCCGGCCCGAGGCCGTCGAGACCTTCTTCATCATGTGGTACTACACCCGCGACCCAAAGTGGCGCGAGATGGGCTGGGAGGTCTTTTCGAGCTTCGAGAGGCACGCGAGGACGCCGTCGGGCTGGGCGGCGCTGAAGGACGTCAACAACCCGGCCAAGCTCGACGACAAGATGGAGTCGTTTGTGCTGGCCGAGACGATGAAATACCTGTTCCTGCTCTTCGACTCATCGTACCCCATCCCGCTCGACAAGTACGTCTTCAACACCGAGGCGCACCCGCTCGGCACCTTCGACGCCTCCGCCTTCACCTCCGCCGCACCGCCGAAGAGGAGATGACACGCCCGCGGCGGCCGATCGGCGTGGCGGCCGGCGCCGCCTCTCCGCGCCCCTGCCGGCGCGCTCGGGTGGGCGGGTCTCGGGTGGGGGCGCCTCTTGCCGTGGCATCAGTCTCACATCGCGAGGAGCCGCAGCACGTGTGCGCCGCGCCGTCGTGCGCCGGACCGCGGAAGCCCCACAGCCTCCTGTGCCGTTCTGTTTGTACGTAGTCCTCGCCTTCTCTCTTCCTCGGCCGATGGGAGACGGACAGAGTGAAACATGTTGAAGAATCGTATTCGTTTGGCGAGGAATCTAGCCAGCAGGGCCCCGCCGGTACAGGCCATGCAGCCTTAAGCTCAGGCCTCAGCCACAGTCCACACACCACGCGCAGGGTCCACCGAGAGAGGTCAGAGCGCACAGCCACACACTGGCTGAACAGGCCCCCAGCCCACAGCTGCGAGGCTGGTGCATTTGCGACACGCAGATTACCATGCAGAAGACGCCGGTGTCGCTGTTGACCCGCGGCCTAATCCCCCTGAACGACTACGCAGGCGCAAATGTTACTGGTGCTCCGACTGTCCCTCTGCCTCTCCTCTGCGGGTGTCCGTTGACCCTCCCTATGCTCCCCAACAAGGCACAAGGCACAAACTGTGCTTCACCGAACTCGATGCAGAGCACCCTGTGCTGCCCCAGCAACAAAGCATGAAACCTGGTGGAGGACGACGGGTGCTGTGTCTGCGCCACGTCGTGGAGATTTATGATGTGGCACTGCCGCTCTCCCGCCGCAGACTGGCGCCACGTCTCACGCGTGCCCCACAGCCGCCAAAATTTGCTCTCTGGGGAGAAGACGGCCTCACATACCGCCGGCATTGGTTCCGGTTCCGGTTCTGGTGCCGGTGCCGCGTCCGGTGCCAGCGCCGGCATCGGCTTGACGGGCAACGTGGCAAAGGGCGTCGTGGACGAGGCGAGGTCGAGGGTGACCAGGGGCACCGCCTCGGCGGGCAGGCGGTACTCCCGTAGGAGCGCTGCGTGGATGCGGCGAGCGTTCGCCTCCGCCGTGGCACCGCCAGCCTTGGGCACGAACACCGCCTCAATCACGCCCGGCAAGCTGTCTGCCCACGCCGCCGCGTCGAGGACCACCTCGTTGTACCTGCAGCCGTTGCCTTGCCGGCAAGCGGAGCGTCACCTTGGCCTGCATGCACGGCAGGTTGGGTCAGCCTCGCTCTGACGCGGCCCTCTCTCTTCTCGGTCGGTCCCGGACGGAGCCTCGGCTCGCGCAGGCAGCCACGGTCAAGCGCTCTGCTGGTTTTTTTTTAAAAGGCCGGTGATCAAGGCCTCGGCCTCGTTCCTCGATACAAACGCCCCCGCCTCCATGTCCCACTGCTCCTCGCATGCCCAAGTGGCTAACTTGGAGTACTTGGAGTACGGTCGGTAACCTCACGCCCAGGACCGGGGAGTTAAGGTCTGGTTATCTTCCGCCGTCCGGCCGCGCATTTCAAGAAAAAAGATCTTCCTTCGGGGACACACGATTCCAGAAATGGTTGTGTCCCCGCTCCTCGCTCGCCCGGGCGGAGGGCATGGCCGCGGAGGAGGCGAGTACACGCTGCCAGGCCTTCCGCAGACAGCCTCTTGGGCAGACTGAGGGTCGGCTTTGCGTGGCGTGGCCCGTACGCTGCGCTGCGCAAAGCTGCGTATGCGGAGGGAGCATCCTGTGCTTCCACCGGGAAGTGCGCACCTCCTGCAGCCGGTGGAAGGCCGTGCCGCCGCTCGCCTGCTCCGTGGACAGGGCGGGGAGGCGGTGCCGCAGCGCCGCAGCGTCCGCTGCACGCCGGTGCAGCACTCTGCTGCCTGGTGGGCAGCATGCTGGTGCTGTGCGCGACGTTTTCGAGGCTGCAGTGGCGCTGCACCGCAAGCCACGGCGAGTGGCACGCAGCAAGCGCGGCGCCGCGCTTGGCCCGGACAGCGCCAGAGAGTGCCCTCGATGGGCCAGCCTGCGCGGCGCGAGCGCCGCACAAGCTGACGCATCGTCTGCCATTCTCTGGTCGACGGCGGTCAATCTCACGATTGTCGATCAAAACCGGCGGGCTTTGTGACGCCGTTTACGCAATCGTTTTTGGCTTCGCTTTCTCTTTTGCTTGTTTTTATTTTGTTGTTTCTTTTGCGAAGCGACGGAGGGGGGGGGCGGGCGGGCGCTAACTATGGGCAACTACATGTCGAAGGTTCGAGGACGACTACTCGCCGCCTGGGTCGTCTGGGGCGCGCGGCTCCGTCGAGGACCGGGCGCGCCCCTTTCCCGGCGCGGCGTAGGTCCCACTCTGACGTATAGAGGGGAGGCACGGACAACGGCCCAATTCATCAATTCCACTCATCTTCTGGTGCCTAGCCCCGTGCAGCGGCGGTCCGGCAGGCTGCCCCCAAGGCCCCCTGGGCCGCTGCGGGTTTTGGAGTTATGCTTTGGCACAGCTTCGGCGATGGCGGCCCCTCTCTGGGGCTTGCATAGGCGGGGAGTCTCCCTCGCTGGTCTCCTCATTCCCTTTTTTCTTTTTCTTTTGAGCTGGGTGTGCCGCCGCGCGGCGCTCGCGCGGCGGCGGTGTGGGTGTGTGTGTGTGTGCGGGGGGGGGGGGGGGGGTCCGGGGCCCCCGGGACAAAAGCTCCACCATCATCGGCTCCCCGGGGGGGGAACCAGGAGGGGGGATGGGCGGTCCGCCACCAATAAAGCAACAGGGGCGTACGGGGTAACCGTCCCTTTCCTGCCTCACAAGGGCGGGGCTGTCCCGGAAAGTGAGAAACGCCGGGCAGCGTGGCGCATCATTGAACCCTCCCATACGTGCTCGTACTCCTCCTTCGCTGTCCCATCTCCTCATCTCTTTCCCACCTAGGCGGGGCGGGGGTCGGGGGGGCGGCGGGCGCGGGTGCGAGGTGCGGTGCGGTGCGTGCAATCGTGTGTTTGGCGTCATGTCGTGTGTGCCTTCGCTTGTTCCTATTAACAACGAAGTCTAGCTCAGAAAAAAAGAAAAAGTTGTTATGCGCTCGTTCTTCGAACCGGCGACCGCGACGACGAGATGCAGGCGAACCCGACAAATCTTCTCGACCTGCCAACGGACCTGCTCGTCCGCATCCTTGCTCAGTGCGAGAGCCCCGTTGATGTCATCAGCTTCAGCTCGGTCTCGCGCCTGAACGCGGCACCGGAGGCTTCGGTCGTGGAGGAGGCCCTGACCCTGCGTGCGAGAGAAAAGGGGTATGCGCTGCCGAAGAAGAATGGAGTCTCCACACGTCGGCGATGCCTCTTCGCTCTGAGGCGCGAGGCCAACCCGACGGCGATGGTTGCGGCTGGCAGCGCGCACAGTGTATTCATCGACGGCGAGGGGAAGCTCTCCACGTGCGGCAGAAGCGACGTCATAGGAGGCCCAGGTATCCTCGGACACTCCGAGAGCGTGACGCAACTGACGACACCGACCCGCCTGCCTGCATGGCTCGATGGCGAAGTTTTCGAGAGCGTCTCGGCGGGCGACAACCACAGCATCGCCGTCACAGCCAAGGGCTCAGTCTGGAGTTGGGGTCACAGTGGCTGTCTGGGCCACGGGAGCGTCGCCGAACATCAGTGGCAGCCCAAGCTGATTGTGGCACTGGCTGGCCATGCAATCGTCTCTGCCACTGCGGGAACGCTGCACAGCCTCGCCGTATCCGCCGACGGCGACGTTTGGACCTGGGGCGTGGGCGGTTTTGGCCAGCTGGGCCACGGGAATCACGAGAACCGCTGGTCGCCGCTCAAGATTGACAAAGCCTTTGCCGGGCTGAGCGTAGTGGCTGTGTCGGCGGGGCGGGCGCACAACCTAGCTGTCACAGCCGACGGAGGTGCCTGGAGCTGGGGGAGCGGTGGGTGCGGCATGCTCGGCCACGGGTGCGAGGAGAACCAACTGTATCCAAAGCGGATCGAGGCCTTTGGCGCAGCTCGTGTCGTGTCCGTCTCGTCGGGAGACAACTGCAGCTTCGCCGTCACCGCCGACGGCGCTGTTTGGTCGTGGGGAATCGGGGGCGACTGCTGCTTAGGACACGGCAGCCACGAGAAGCTCCGACGGCCCTCCAAGATTGAGGCCTTGATCGGCCAGCGCGTCGTCGCTGTATCGACTGGCTACGCGCACGTCCTCGCCCTCACCGCCGACGGAGCCGTCTGGTCTTGGGGCGTCGGATACGCTGGCCAGCTTGGCCACGGAGACCGGGAGAATCGGCTGCAGCCAGAGCGCGTGCAGGCTTTGGCAAGCTGCTGCGTTGTTGGCGTGGCAGCTGGCACCAACCACAGCCTCGCCCTCGGGGCCCACGGCACCGCATGGAGCTGGGGCAAGGGAGAATTCAATAGATGCGGAACATGCATTGGCGCATTGTACGATGCGCCCCTCTCGATACCTTTTCACTCACTGACACTGTCCTTTGTCTGCTCACAGGGGCCGATTGCTGCCTTGGCCACGGGGCGGATCAGTCCTACCAGTCGCTTCCAAAGGTGATTGAGGCGTGGAAAGGTGGGAGGAGCGTGTGAGGTGTGAGACTATTGACTTCTTCGTGCTACATTTTGACCTCTCGCTGTTTTCCCCTTTTCATGACGCTGCTAAAAAGAAAGAAAACAGGCAATCCAAGGGAGGGATGGGAGGACGGCACGCCGCCACCACACAGGGATTTTGCATGACGCTGCTGAATCGACGGGCAAGACGCGAGTACATTCTTTTTCTCGCGATGTCCACCCCGCCGCGCAGCTGGCGCCGCTCGCGCCGCCTCGCCCCCGCCTCCACCGCCGCCAGATCCTCGCAAAACACGCCGCCGCCCGCCAGCCTCCTCGACCTCCCCACGGAGCTCCTCGCGCGCGCCCTCTCTCACTGCCACAGCCCCGCCGACATCGCTCGCGTTGCGGCCGTCTCGCTGCTCTTCCACGCCTCGCTGGCGCTGGAGGGCATCCGCTTGTGGGCGCAAGAGCGCGGCTTCGAGCTGCCGGCGCAGCCCGAGGGCGAGAGCTGCGCCGTTCGGTGGCT